GCCATATGAGGAAGGAGAAGAGAGAAGAGCAAGCCGTCTCTCGAACTCTCCCCCAACACCAGTGGCCAGGGGCACTCCTGCGATGAATTCTTCATCCACAGCCTCCCAAGCAGGCTCCCAGACTCCCTAGACCAGAGCTGGGGAACCTGTGGCCTTCTAGGTCCTCAAGTGTGGCCCTTTGATTGAATCCAACCTTCACAGAACAAAGCCTTTTATTAAAGTGATTCAGACCTCCAGCTCCTGACCATAGTATGGTCTACAGGGCATCAGAGGACACAACCTCACCTCCTACTCCTAGGTCTGACCTCAAAGGAGGACCCTGAACACTATCCTCCTGCTTCCTTTCAAAGGACCTCTCCTTCCTCATTCACTGATTCTCTGCCTGGACTCATTCCTCAATGGTTAGTGTTCTATGACTGATATTTTCCCAATCCCAGGGTTACTCCTCATCTCTACCTCCTGGCTTCCCTGGCTTCCTTCAAAATTCCACCCTGTTCAAGAAGCCTTTCCCAATCCCCCTTAATGCTACTCAGTTCCTACCATTTGTTCCTTCACCCCACCTTGCTACACACTGGAATTAGGACTCTTTTGACCTTGATCATAACCCACAATGTTCCCCTTTCAAGTTAACAAACTCTGAAATCCTTTGAGCTGATCATAATCTTCAATCACTCTCTCTCTCTGGCTGCCTTGTTCATCCTCACTGTGACCTCTGTTCCCCCACTTTCATTTCTTTCCCAGCCCATCATCATCACACTGTCTACACACTCTCTTCCCAACCTCAACCCCTTTGGTCAACCATAATATCTTGCCTCCTTGTCCTATAAAGCATCAGCCACACTTTGCCAAACCCCAGCTCTTGTTTACTCCCACCATTTGCCTTTCTTGTTCCCATTCACATGCTGCTAAACAGAACTGTCAGAAGGTGGGTCCACCACATACAAATGAATGCTATCTGCTCTGTACTGGGCCCTCACTGCAGCAAGGCAATCCTCATTGATTCTCTATCCTACTCATCACTTAGAGCTTGCTCCAAGCCTTCTTGTCTCTCCACTCTCTTAGCTAAGGATCTCGACTTATCACTGCCCTGAAAATACAGAGGGCATTCACCAAGAGAGTGTTCTCTTCTCTTCATCCTACGTCCTTCTGACATTATCATCCCCCACTAGGTCCCCCTTCACTCCAGTCGCTGATGAAGTGGCCCTTCTCCTTGCCAAAACCAACCCCTCCATATATGACTCTATCCCCACTCATGTTCTCTAACAAATTTCTCCAAATTTCTCTCTAATATTAAATTTCTCCCTCTCTCCTGGCTCCTTTCCTGCTGTTGACAAACATGCCCATATTTCTTCCATCTTGACAAAATCATTGCTTGATCCTCCCTTCTCCTATTGGCTATTGGCTTAGGACTCCCCTCCTCTTTTCAGCTAGAAAAAGTCATCTCTATTCAGTACATTCTACTCCTGCTCCCCTAATGCTCTGTTCATGTTTCACTCATTTCTCTCCCTTTACAGTCTGGCTTCCAAACTCATCATTCAACAGAATGACTGTCTCCAAAATTACTAATCATCTCTGAATGGCCAAATCCAATGAAAAGTAGTAGCTAGTATTTATATAGCACTTACTATGTGCCAGGCATTGTGCTAAGCACTCCACAAATATTATCTCATTTGATCCTCACAACAACCCTAGAAGAGTAGGTGCTGTTATTATCAATCCCAGTTTTACAGAGAAGGAAACTGAGGCAAACAGAGGTGAAGAGACCTGCCCAAAGTCTGAATGACCTTTTTTTCTTCTTGACCTCTCTTCAGCCTTTGATACTGCTGACTATCCTTTCCCCTTGGATTCTCTCTCCTCTCTGGGTTTTTATGACACTACTCTCCACTCCTGGCTCTTCCTCTACCAGTCTGACCACTTGTGCAGTCTCCTTCGCTGAATTTTCATACAGGTTATGGTCACTACATGTGGGTATCTCTCAAGGTTCTGTCCTAGACCCTCTTCTTAAAAGAAGAGGGTACTATTTCTCTTGGTGATCTCATCAATTGCCATGGGTTCAATTATCATCTCCATGCAGATGAATTCCTGAATCTCTATATCCACCTCTTGTCTCTTTCTTGAGCATCACTACCCATATCGCCAACTGCCTTTTGAATATCCCTAATAGGATATCAGATAGGCATCTCAAATTCAACATGTACAAAACAGAACTCGTCGTCTTCCCTCCCAAACCCTTCCCTATTATTGCTGAAGACACCACCACCATCCCCATTACCATTGCTATCTTTGACCCCTTACTTGAATTTATTCTACTTTTTGCCACTATGATGCCTCAGTAACCTCTCACCTAGGAACGTCTATCAGCCCCTGAAGCCTTCTCACTGAGGAATATTCCTCTTCTCCATTTGTGTCTCCATTTTGGAGAAGGATCCAGGATGGCCAACCTTCATTCCCCTTCTGGCTCTGCTTCTGACTTTCCAGACTTAGAAACCAGACCACAAAGTGACCTGCCATCTCCTCCCTGCCATCCTTCCTTGGTGCCAGTCTTTTAACTTTCTTGTACATATTGTTTTCTCCCACTAGAATGTAAGCTCCCTGAGGGTAAGAACTATATTTTTGCTTTGTATTTGTATCCCCAGCACAATGCCTGGTATAGAGCAAGCACTTAATAAATGTTTGTTGCCTACTTGTCCACAAACCCAAGCCCTTGCCAAAACACCTTCTTTGTCTTTGTCTCTTTCTCTCTGTCTCTGTCTCTCTCCCCCTCCCTCCCTTCCTCTCTCTCTCTCTCTCTCTCTCTCTCTCTCTCTCTCTCTCTCTCTCTTTCCTTTTGGCAAGCCAATTGGGGTTAAGTGACTTGCCCAGGGACACACAGCTAGTAAGTGTCAAGTGTCTGGTCTGAGACTGGATTTAACTCAGGTCCTCCTGACTCCAGGGCCAATGCTCTATCCACTGTGTCACCCAGCTTCCCCCCAAAACCTTCTCTTTACTCACACAACCACGACCCTATCTTGGGTGCTCATCATCTCTTGTCTGGACCCTGGTAGTAGCTTCATCAGTCTGCTTCCAGTCTCTCCCAGCTCCAATCTATCCTTCCCAGAGCTGCACAACTGAGTGAGGTGATGAGGTCCCACACTAGAGTGGGGGCAGTATGAGGACAGAAGGGGATAAATTTGGGAGATCTTGCTAATTGGCACCAAAGGATAGAGCATCGGGCCTAGTCAGGAAGACCTGAGTTCAAATCCAGCCCCAGACACTTACTAGCTGTGTGACAAGTCACAAACTCTATCTGCCTCAGTTTCGTCAACTGTAAAACGGGGATCATAATAGCACCTTCCTTCCCAGGGTTGCTGTGAGGATCAGATGAGATAATATAACCCAGCACACTTAACAAATGCAAGTTCCCCTCCCTCTCCCCTCAATGGCCTGACGACTTCAGAGACCAGCTGGGCCCACCTGAACCTGATCAGGAATCCTCTCTACAATCTCTAGTCTAGAGCCTCTGCTTGAAGAGCTCTGGACTGCAGAGTGCTGCTCCCTCCCTCCCTCTCTCCACAGGCAGGCCGTGCCTACCACAGCTCTCTCACAGTGAGGAAGTTTTCCTTGGACTGAATAGAAATCTAGCCAGAGCTTCCAGTTCTGCCCTTGGGGGCCAAGCATAACAAGGTTAATCCCAATTCCATCAGCCAGCCCTTCAGTGACACACAGTCAGCTCTCCTGTTCTGTACACCTTCCATGGCAGAACACACTGAATGTCAACCTCCTCTGGTCAGAGGGGCTGTGGCGGAGACCACCCCCCACTGCCCTGCCCCTCGCCTGGCCCCACCAGGGGATCTGGATCAGCAACCGGCCATTAGACATTGGTCAGAGGACTTGGGTTTGAATCCCAGCTAATAATAAAAGCTAGTATTTATGTAACAGTAGCAGCTTGCATTTCCATAACACTTCGCACATGTGATCTCATTAGATCCTTTTAACAACTCTGTGATGGTCTACCGCTTCTCATATGTTCAAGCAGCTCCTGTCTAATAAAAATATATCCCTTTCAATATCGTCCTCGAGACATATAAGAATACTACCAACAACGAATTCTTCAATCACCTTGCCCATTGCATTGACCCTATCCAAGGGCAGACTGAATCTTGACTCACTTCTCAGGTAAGGACACAGATAATTGAACCTAGGGCGAGAGAGACAGAGAGAGAGACAGAGAGAGAGACAGAGAGACAGAGATAGAGACAGAGAAAGGAGGGAGAGACAGGGAAAAAGAGAGAGATAGAGTGAGAGAGAGTGAGCAGAGGGAGAGAGAGACAGAGAAGGGAGAAGGAGACAGACAGAGATGAGACGGACAGAGAGGAAGAGGAGAGGAGGAGACAGACAGACAGAGAGAGAGACAGACAGAGAGAAAGGAGGAGTGGCAGAGAAAAAGGAAAAAAACACGGAGGGAGGAAGAAAAGAGAAAGCAGAGAGGGAGAGAAAGATTGCTTGATTCCCAAGGCAAGGTCCTTGACCTAAACTTCCCATCCCCACTGATGCCACACCACAGCAGAGATAGTGTAAGCAATTCCAGAAACACACAGACCCTTGAGAAGACTTTCCAGAGCCCCTAGCACCAGATCCCAGAGGGCCATGCCTCCTTGCAAAGCCAATCGAGGCCAAGCCTGTTCTGAGACCTTCTCTTTCCTTCCCCTCACCCCCAAGCACCTCCTGGGACCCTAGAGTCACCCTGTGCATTCACAGCATCCTTCCCTAGCAGCGCCTTTGACCCTAAGACCATTGCTCAGTAACTACTGATACCCTAGTGAAGGTATGGTCAGGAAACAAGGTTAGTTCCTTGACCAGAGAAGAAAATCCAGGGTATCTGAAACCTAAACAACATGAAGAAGTACTATTCCTTTTAGCTCATGCTGATCTCTGGACAACAGGCTCTGCCGTGCAGAAAATATACTTCCCTAAAGATGGACCAAGTGTTGATTTGAGGGAAGAAAGGGGGCGGCGCTTACCTTGGGGGGATCAAACAGCTCCAGGACATAGTCTTCGCCACCTTCTGGGCTCACCACCTTCCTCAACACCAGTCGCCCCCGCTGCCGCAGGGCCCCACTGTCCATGGTGGCTTCGTCCACTAGGCCATATTTGAGGACACCCTCCTTTCGGGCCTCAGGAGCCGGCTCCCTAGACAGGCTCCAGGGCAGGATTTTCTTGGCCAGGCCCTGTTTAGAAGGGGGGTCACCTGCCTCCCCCTCACCTGTTCCTTCCCCAGCAACCAGAGTTTCTGACGGACGGCGTCGAAAGATATGGCGAAGGCTCCTTCGAAGGTGGTGGAAAGAGTAATGCGCGATGGAGCGGGGAGAGGCCAGAGGTGAGGCCCCTCCTGTGAGCTCCTCTGAACTCCGGGATTTGGGCAGGGTCTGGGAGGTGACCTCCGGGGCCCGCTCACCGGCGTCTGAAGTTGCCTCCGCTTTGGGGGGGTGTTGCCGAGCCATCTGTGTGCCTCCTGCCAGTCTCCCGATAGTCCCGGACTCGGGAGGTGATGGGCCGTAGCCGTAGCTGGTGCATGGCCCAGCCCTCTCTCACCTCGTGTCGGAAGTACTGCTGGAAGAGGTCCGTGAACTGCAGTGAGAAGTGGTCAGCCCCGAGCAGGTCATGGTGGGGGTGCTCGCTGGCAAACAGCCAATATTGCTTGGCCAACTCCTTGGCCGTGGCCACAGCATGAAGCTCACAGAATTCACTCCAGCCCCGGGGGTTCGAGGAGGGTGAAGGCTGAAGGGCAGGCCCATTCATTGCCGGTGCTGAGGCAGAGGGACTGAGCTGTAAGACACAAAAAGGGAGTGGGGCTGCTAAGTAGGAAACGGAGGCAGACCTGCTCTGCCAGGCCTTAGAGAACATCCCCAAATGAGCCTTCCCTGAAGATGCTGTAAGTTCCACCTGGAATGCCCTTCCATTCCTCCTAACCTCATCCATCCTCAGGAACCCCACAAATGCCTGGGTTCAAACCCCACTTTTAACACTTACTAGCTATGTGACCCTGGGCAAGGCTCTCTGCGCCTGTTTCCTTAGCAGTAAAATGAAGCGGCTGAAGGAGATGGCCTTAAGGTCACTTCCCGTTCTCTACCCAGGATTCTTTGAGCTTTTCCTGACCACCCCATTCTATAACCTTCCTCTCCTCTGAACTCTCAAATGGTTGGTGTTGGGGGATCTGGGTTCAAATCCCAGGGAGAAAACAACCTATTGCCCTGCAGTGAAAGAGAACTGTCAGAGGTCAGGAGACCTGGGCCCCAGTAACAGCCCTCTCTCTTACACCACACTTTTTATATTAGAATCATAAACTGTCAGAGCATGGAGGTTATTATAACATAAAACATCAGCGCAAGAAGGGATCTGAGAACATAGGATATTAGAAATGGGAAAGGCCTTAGAACACAGAATGTCAGAGCTAGAAGGGGCCTTAGAACATAAGGATGTTAGAGCTGGGAAGGGCCTTAGAACTCAGAGTGTCAGAGCTGGAAGAGACCATAGAACACAGGACATCAGAATTGGGAGGGACCTTAAAACATAGAATGTCAGAATTGGGAGGGACTTTAGAACATAGGATATCAGAGCTGGGAAAGGCCTTGGAACGCAGAACATTAGAGCTAGAAGAGATTTAGAACAAAGGATATCAGGGCTGGGAGTGACCTTAGGATATAGGATGTCAGAGCTGGGAAGAGGGGCCTTAGAACAAAGAATGGAGTCCTAGCTGGGATGGGCCTTACAGCCCTGACTCCTCCCTTCGGGGCCCCTGAGTTTCCTCTTTCCTGGAATAAAGGGCTGGGGCCTGGGGCCAATGAATTCACGAGGGTGAGAAACTCTGAAAGATGCTGGCCTGGCCCTCCTCCAGGTGAATCACTCTCCTCCTGGCTGGGCCAGCCTCCAGCATCCTGGTCTCCAGCATCTTTCACTTCAGCTCATGAAACCCACATTGGCCATGACCACCTTGAGTCAAAAAACGAGTCCAGAGGCCCAGAAGTGAATTTCTCCCAGAAATATGGGAAGACCTGGTTTGAATCTCGCCTCTTGGTTCTTGCTAGCTGTGGGGGAGAAGAATCCTGTAGAATTTACCCTGCCAGATTCTTAGAAGGCCCCAGCAGGACAACGGATGTAAAGCACTTTGCAAACCTTAAAGAGCTATATGAATGCTAGGTATTAATTACTATTGTTATTGTTATTAATGACCACAGAGGGCACGTTGAGGCTGGCCAGGAAACACAGCCCACCTGCTTCATACATAAGAGGATAAGGTACAAGGGGGCCCAGAAAGTGATGAGACATCAGAGGACTTACTCTAGAGACAGTTTGGGAAGAAAAGTTTGGTATCTGATTCCCAAGCTCTCCCCACCCCGTGAATCCCATGGAACAAGCTGCCAGGGTAGACATTCCACGTTGGGGTCAGACAGTTGCATCCATACTGTCAAATGTCTACACCCACCTCCCCACTCTGGCCCAAACTGGGCTGCTCCAGGGTTCAGGGGACCCTGGGAACTCCAGTGAAAGGGTCAAAAACACAAGCACACCCAGAGCCTAGTTCATAAGACCACAGATTTCAAGCTAGAAGGGACCTTAGAGGTCATCTCATCCAATCCCCTCATCTTACAGAGGCAAAGCAGCCATCCCACGATTCACACAAACTAGTAAGGGAAGCAGGGGGATCCGAACCTAGATTCTGGGACCCCAAATTCAGAACTTTTCTTAAAGCCCCATGATGAGACATAAATCTGGGACCTATTCCCTTAGAGGGGACTAAAGCAGGAGAAGAAAAGAGGGGGGAAAAGATGAGAAAAAACCCATATTGTTCCCAAAATCTTACTGCAGTTCAATTAAAATTTACGGCTACATGAAGACTTTTGGGGATTCCCCCATACATACTCCTCTGCTTGATGTCACAGCCTGTCCCTAGCCTAACTGTATTGTATCCCACTGGTATCCCTCATGCTCTCAACTCTCTGTTTACTCAATGTTCCCCCCCATGCCCGACACACTTTGGCTTTGTACAGATGATGCCCACCCCCCTCACTTCTGCCTCCTAGAAAAAGGCTCAGCTCAAGACCCACCACCTAGTCAATTCTTTTTTGGATTCCCCTAGATCAGAGGCTCTTAACCTAGGGTCTGGGAAACTTTTTTTTTTTTTTTTAGTATTTTGAAACTATATTTCAATCTCACTGGCTTCCTTTGTAATTCAAATATTTTTATTTTATGCATCTAAAATCACTCTTCTGAGAGGGTGTCCATAGGATCCACCAGAGTGATTGCCCTCATTGTTAGGACAAAGGCTTCCATTTGGAAGCCTGGATTTATTATGGACATTATTTGCATTTATTTTGTTTATATTCTCTTTTTACTTCTCTCTGAGCACACTGTAACCCTTCCCACACGGCCCATATGTATGTTCCTCAAAGGCAGGGGACCTTCTTTCTGAGACTTTTGTCCCTGTATCCCCAGTGCCTACCATTTAAGTAGTAAGCATGCTTGTCGACTGACAGACTGAATGAAAGAAAGAATGAATGAATGAAAGAATGAATGAATGAATGAATGAATGAGGAGCCTCTTGCCTGCAGGGAGAGAGGAAAAAAAAAACAAAAAACTGAGTCTCTTGGGTGAATTCTGCCCTAGCTCAGAATCATTTATCATTGACCCAGAAAAGCCCTAGGAAAATTTGTACAGTAAGTGAAATTTATCTAACACTTTAAAGTTTGTAAAACACTTTATAAAAATTGTCCTACTTAAGCCTCCTGGTGCCCTGTGAGTTTGGCACAGCAGGTATTATTATTAACCCCATTTTATAGAAAGAGAAATAACTCAGATAGTTAGATGGAATCCTAGCTCAGACACTTGCACTGCCTGTGCGATCTTGGGCAAACTACTTTCCCTCTCTGGGCCTCAGTTTCCTCATCTGTGCCTCAGTTTCCTCATCTGTAAAATGAGGGAGTTGTACCAGACGGCTTGAGAAGTCCTTTCCAGTTCTATCTAGGTCTATGATCCTATGATCCCAGGTCTCTACACCTCCTTGGTCCTCAGTCTCCTCATCTGTAAAGGAGGGGGATGTGGATTAGAAGGCCTCTGGGGTCCCTTCCAGCTCTGTAGCTCTGATCCGAAGCGTCCTCGAGAAGTGACCGTCCAGTCTTTCTTTGAACACCTAAAGTGAGAAGGAGTTCATTTCCTCACAAGGCAGCCCATCCCATTTCTGGACAAACTTCAATTGGTTCAGGGTTAACACAGCTAATCAAAGTCAAAGTCAGAACTTGAATCTAGGCTTTGTGACTTCAAGTCCTATGCTCTTTCCACCGGTTGCTCCAAGATCTTGAAGGAAGGTCAAACAACAAGGGAGCATCCCCGATGAAGCAGCGGGAGTCAGGCTCAAGGCAGGGCAGAAAAGAGACCAACTTGTACTTAACAAACATTAGGCTGTGAAAATGGAGCCTCTGAACCTTTCCTGCCTCGCATCCTGAAAAGGTTCTTCCCAAACATGGGAAATCAGGGGCATCCCAGAAAATACTGTAGTCAGGAAAATGATCCATGGCCATGATACCTCTTTCTTTTAAACTTTACTGCAAAGTTCCAATGAAGTCCATCTCAGGGCACAGGAAGAACTAGGCACCAACTAGATCTAGGGGAGTTCCATGGTCCTCTCCCTGACCAGTGTGTTGAGACATGGAGCCCATGACTTGGGTCTGCCACTTGTGTGATTTGGCCTCTTTCTGTAGAATGAATGCAGTCGCTACATTCTCCTCATTTGTAAAACGAGGGAGCTGGATTCTAAAGACCCTCCCCACTTTAACATTCTACTGCTTTGTGCCCAGACCTTCTTACTCATAAGGCAAAAACGTAACAGGTCTTTAAGAGATGAAGTGAAGTCATTTAGAATTAACTGGATTCAGTTCCACACATATTCATTAAGCATCTCTCCTGAACTGGGCTTTGCACAAGACCCTTGGCTTACAAAGGCAAAGAATAACTGACCCTGGGGAAGTTCATTTTGTAAATTTCAATATTCATCTATTTCATTCTATTTCTACGGAACAATACCACATCCTGACCTGGTTAAAAAACGAACAACAACATTGAATTTGGAGTGAGTAGATTAAAGGAGGATGGGCTAGAGCTGGGAGAGATCTTAGAGGGGAAGGAAAAGGGAATAAGCATTTACATAGCACCTACTATATGCTAACCACTTTTTTCAAATATTATTTCACTTGATCCTCATAACCTCGTTAAAAAAAAGGTGCTATTATTATCATTACCATTTTACAATTGAGGAAACAGAGGCAGACAGAGGTTAAGTGATTTGCCCGGGGTCACATAGATAGTAACTGTTAGAGGGCACATTTGAATTCAGGTTTTGCTGACTCCAAGTCCTACAAGAAGCTTGATGAAGATCTGGTGCTCTATCCACTGTACACCTAGCTGCTTTAAGTCTAGTCTAAATCTTTCATTTTGCAAATGCACATTTTGCAAACAAGGAAACTGAGGCCCAGAGAGGGTATGGAGCTTGTCCAGGTCACCCAGGCAGAGGCAGTGACAAAGGGAGGCTCTCGACTCCCATCCTCAGAATCCCAAGTCACTGCTTATTCTTTCCACCATATTATAGGAATTTGAGTCAGATCTTGGTTCAAATCATGTTTCTACCCTTTATTAGCTTTGTGACCTTGGACAAGTCTCTTCCCCTCCCTAGGCAGGGGTCAATCAAGCAGTTCCTTAAGCACCTCCCATGTGCCAGGTGTATGCTAAGCCCTGTCCTCAGGCAGCTTACAGTCTAACGGGGAAGACCACATGCA